TATTTTAAATGATTTTAGCAAATGGCTGCAATATAACAAAGAGTGAAAAATTGAAGGGGGTCTGAATACTTTCCGTACCCACTGTATATAGTATTATTCATTGCTCCTGCTTCAGGAAAAGGTGTAATTAATACTCTTACACAAAAAAACAGGTGTTATGAACTAATACTTGGTTAGGACTGGGGATGGATATCGAGAACCGGTACTGAACAGGTACCGGTTCTGGACTGGGCAATAGCACAATACCAATCCTATTAATAAGCTCCTGGACAAAGGGTGCCACTATCTATTTTTGCCATTAATTCATTCTAATGGTGCTTTTCCACCCCAACAAGTATTGCACTTTGGGTACTTAAAAAATGGGTTGGCTTTTCACTGGCATAAAAACTGGTACCGGCGCTGAATAACATCACAACGCAGGGTGGGGTATTTTGTACTGAATTCAAAAAAGGGTAGTACTGTATATTAAATGGCTAGACGGTGTGCGATATTAATACATCACATGTTATGCACATCACTAGTCAGCTAGATTGAGAATAGGGTGTCCCCCCCACATTTCATAATTATTCGTTTGGACCCCCCCACATTTAACATAAAATATTAGGTTTATGCCAGTGTGTCCCCCCACATTCAAAATGCTTCTGACTCCCCTGCTGTACGGACATTATAGTGCAAGGAGTTTGTTTCATTAAAACATTTTTACTTTGTCATAGGAAAAAAACTTAGCTAGCTTTGCAATTTTAATTATTACTTTTACAGATTATCTAATATAGGTAAAAAAAAATCAGTTTAAAGTTTTCCTCCAATACTTTTGTGTAAGTGTTGCATACGTTACCCGAAACAATTGTAATCATTTTCATCGTTGCTGTTTAAATCACTCCTAGACGGTTTTGTGAGAAATTTATGTTGAACTCCTTTTTCCTTTATAAATACCCCAATAATTATTACAACAAAATAATGCCACCCTAGTATATTATACAAAATACTTGATATCTTCTCCCTCCAATCTTGATCTTGTTGCATCTGTTCTTCGAACTAGATCACAATTAATGCTTGGGTTTTCAATAATTATTAAAAAGTACTGCCATCGATAAGCAGTATCGGTATTGATATCAGTATCTATAAAATCCTAACAATACCCATCCTTAGTCAGGGATACATGGCCGTCAGTTACCATGCAATGACCTCCAATTCAACTCATTCCTCTGATGCATACAAGCCAAATAATTCACAAGCTAGGAGCTCGCAAGGAGCAGCAGGTGGACAGGACAGATTCAAACCATAAGCTGGTGTGTGTAACTGGCCAATTTATAAGAGCAATAATGAACCAGTTGTACATTCTGCATTCTAGTATTTTTTTTTTTTTATTTAGTGATCAGTGGTCATTGTTGACACACCACAGCAAAATGTGTCCCCTGCATTTAACCCATATATGACAATGAGACACAGCAGGGGGCAGCCAATTCAACACCTGGAGAGCAGTGCTTGGGGGCGGTACCTTGCTCAGGGTACCTCAGTGGTGCCTTACTGGTGCTTATCTTTCAATTACAAGTGCACTTCCCTAACCATTAAGCCACCACTGACCACTTGTTTTTTTATTTATACATTTTTTAAAATATGCTGAATTAGTGCATTTATTCTTAGTATTCTTAATCTTCCAGATTCCCTCTCCTATGCATCTGACTTTCAAAACGGGGAGCCATCGGTGGCACATTAAAATAACCATGACAACTGCATTGCTTTTCATTTATAATAAGTTGCACTGTCACCACGTTACTGACTTCTGCTTCAATCTAAACGTCCAAGCGGTAATCAGTTCGCTATTGTTCCCTAAGGATGATAATAAAAAGATGATAAACAATGGGGGACAAAAACAGAACTTTTCCAGAGACCTAAACATTAATATTCAAATGCAGCATGAAATGAAAAGAGAAGCACTTAATTGTTAAAAATTAGCAACCATGTCAGCTCTTCTGGAAGTGAGCTGTTCATAGCAAATATCCGTCAGCAAAGACCCCAGGACCATTTTAGGAAGCCTTATAATCAAATAATAATTTTAATTTGTTATTGTACCAGTGGGTTACAAAAGTGCAATGAAATACATAAAATAAGTTTCCCCCACTATCCAAAATCAGTGTTGCTATGAAACCTTTTATAAGCCACAATGGCAAGAAACGAAGAAATAATTGCCATTAATTTATATGGGACCAAATAACACATGAAATATAAACTAGCACTAATATATAGTAAAAGCAGGAATGATAGGATAAATACACAGCCTATATCAGTGGTTCTCAATCCTGATCCCGGCGCCCCCTGTGTCAGAATGTTTAACCTTAATCAGGCTTATGTGATCCTTAATAAGCCCTGACCTCAACCCCATTGAACACCTTTGGGATGAGCCAGAATTGAGGTTGAGAGCCAGGCCTTCACCTCCGACATTAATGTCTGACCTTACAAATAATGTTTTGGATGAATGGGTAAAAATTCCCACAGACACAGCAAAATCTTGTAGAGAGCCTTCCCAGAAGAGTGGCAGCTGTTACAGCTGCAAAGGAGGAACCAACTCTATATTGATGCCTATAGATTTAGAATGGGATTCCTGTAAGTGTGATGGTGTGGTAGAAAAATCAATGATAATGCAAATATAATTGTAATTTCAATCAGTAATTACCAAAGAAATTCATAATGACACTTTAGATTTAATTACAATGATTATAATGATGAATTGCTGCTTTGGAATAGTTATTATACTAAAGATGTAATGCAGTAATGCAAGCCTGTGTAAATAATAGGTTTTCACTTTTAAAATTAGAAACGTTTTATGAGGAACTACCCAGATAGCAACATAGGAGAAGTAAGATGAAGAAAGTTTGTTGAGATGAGGTAGTGAAACCATGAGAACAATCTGCTTCTACAGGTTGGCCCTGCCTTGGGCGTCTATAAGCAGAAGAAGCCAGTGTCTTCAGATATCTGACCCCGCCCTGAACTGTCTGTAAACTGTTGTGTTTTTTTACTATAAAAGATGTATGCACTTGTTGTTCAGGGAGCAGATCACGAGACGCATGAAATACTGATGAGTCTCTGCTCCCCAAAAGCTTTGCGGTAATAAAGTTTTGTCAGACTGTTAAGCAAATCCACTTCTTCGAAATTTCTACCACAGAGGCCTGGTGTCCCAGGTGTAGTTTATATAAACCAGTAACATAGTTATTTATCATCAAAGTATTATGTACTGTATAGGCCTATAACTGTATGGGTTATAATTGTACATGCCTTTATATGATTGGCAGTGTAATAGGTTTGTTCACATCAACTTCACCACAAACATGCGAGTAACTGTGATGAGCTGGCAATATTGTTATGACATGAAGGCTACTTTGTCGTTAAGCGGTAGGAATTTTTGCATTGTGTGTGTGTAAGACTATGTATGCATGTATTGTATACAAGCAGGTTATGTTCAACATGAAGGTCTACAGCCAAAACCAAAGTACTTAACACATATCAAAAAGAGGCAGAAATCATAACTGGTATATAAATACCTCAATATCGAACCCAAACAAGAAAATGGTCTGTGCCCAGACCAAACCACAGAACATATAGTTCTGTACAGAAGCCAAGCCAGACCAACTTCCAAGTGTGGATTAAAATACATCAGTCACTACATCATGCTCTGTGAATGCGCAAGATCTGTCCCCCTGCTGCGTCCTGACCACACAGCTAGAGGAGGTAAGGCAAGCTACGCTATACTTTATTGTCCCCAAGGGGAAATTTGTTTTGGGCTCCAAGCCACTGCATTCCATGTAGTGTTTAAGGACTTGCCAAACTCACCTGAGGTGACGTTTTCTAAATTCTTCTCACACTGCTGTCTTTGTAGTTCAATTTCATTCTTGACGTTGCACATTTGCACAGGCTGTACCTGTAAACATAGAAATGTATATATTATATAGAAACAACACAAAGAAACACACAGTGTCGTTTCACAGTTTGTCACATATGCTCCACCCCTTCATAGCTCTGTACTAAAACATTTTCAGAATGTATATGTTCCATACTTTCATTCAAGGAATATACTGTTTCTCACAGATTTCAGTTCTTACTCAATGTAAACAAAAGTATTTACAACCAAATGATGGCAGAATTGGTCATATTGGTCATGGTAGAAACTACTGCTGTCTTGGAAATCATAAGAAAAGCATGAATGGGGAGGTGCCTTCACTGGGATGGGCGTATTTAGAATGATGCACTGTATATACACAGACTAACGATAGACTAAGATACGTAAATACAAGTTTTCTTCAATTAGATTCTATTTTCACAAGTGAAAATATTAAGTGACGTCATCCATAGCAACAGTCTAGCAAAAATCACATATATGCTACAGTAAACAGAGGTCCTGTTTTACAGCTGGATATTTTTAGAACATCACAAGACTTTGACACTTAGTTGCGATCACAGTCCGGTTGTGTTTATGTCACCACCTAATCAATTTTGCTCGTTGTTATTGATACACATACTGCCCTTGTGTAACTCCAGCCTCTAAAAAATGTAAATAGATCCTCACGCCCACGAGTAAAAGTCTAGGAGAAGGCCTTCCAAGTGTCTTCCAATTAAGGTTCTGCACTTTTACTTTCAAAAAGTTTATTCCCTCCCTGTGGGTACAGTACAGCCTCACTGTTCAGCAATGGGGTCAAACAAGTCAAATATCCACCCACCACCTGGACAACCAAGATAGGAGCAGGTAACGGCAGGTCAGTGCAATAACTGGAGGAAAGTGTCAAAACTGGGCCAGAACACTTCATATTTTGCTGTTCAGAAATGTCACATTTAATATTTTTTCCCCCATGCTAAAATGAAGGATATTTCTTACTCTTTTTGCCAATCTACACCTCTCCAGTCACTTTCAAAAACCGCCCAAAATTACCCACTTGAAATGCAACAATTTTTTGGTTTGGTTCAACCAAACATATTGGACAATTTCACCCTCAAATTTTCTCACAGAATCAAAAAACCACTAAACTGAGTAGCAAAACAAGGGTTGAAAAAGTGGAAATGAAAGTGAGGTGCTCACTCGTCAGGTCATGGGGTTCCACAATAGCCACACTGCAAAATCAGATCATTTTTTGTTTCTTTAGTGAGTTATTTAATTGAATCTGGATCAACTTTAAATTATCACCTGCTGGTATTTAATAGGAGGCTGTGGTGATACTGTCCTTATCGTGTCGATATCGTCCTTATATTAACCTGCTAGTTAACTTCAGCCACTAGACAAAAAGAGGAGATGTGCACGGTATCCTTGAAGTGCCCTTCCTTCACTGTCCTCTGCCGTGTAATGATGAGGTTGCTATGGTTAGATGGTCGGGTTGCTAAGGATTTTTTTACCCTGCTTAACTGACAGCAAAATGAAAAACACTAATTAAACTATTTCCATAGAGAAAAGCTGGAATCATCAAAGGAAGCATGTTAGCTACAGAAGTTCGCACCCTGCTGTGGCGGCCACCTGCTGCAGGATTCAGGAACACCTTCTCACGGCATACAGCTGTGTTATTCAAAATAAATGAGTGTCCCGCTTAACGCTCAAGCAAAAGACAAATACGTCCCCTCCCAGTGTTCAGCACTGTATCTCGGCAGCAAACAGGAATGCCCTTTATTATGAATATCTATAAACTATGCAATCCATAAACATTTACAACCCAAATATAACCTTAATAGTCTACTTTACAAATTTTACTTAAATACCATGTCTTACTTCATGCATGCCATATATGGGAAACACAAGTATATCGTCAAAGTAAACAATCTCAAACAAGACAATGAGGTTTTTTATGGAAAGTAGTTATAGAGTATTAGGAACAACAAACAAAAAGCAACATTATCTGGGAGCACTGTGTGGCGTGTCCAGAGTGTTTGCATGTTACCATGCAGATTAAAGAGATCAGAGTCTCAAGAAAAAAAAAAGTGTCTTGCATACCAGACGCATGCGTGCGTGTGTGTGTGTGTGTGTGGTCCAGGTATACCTTACCTTGTGGGGACCAAATGTCCCCACAACATAATGAATATGTTTCCTGGTCCCCATATGGGAAAAGTCTATTTTATAAAAATCTGCTGCAATGAAAAAACTAAAAATACAAGAACTTGTGTATTTTGTTTGGTTACTTATGGTTATGGTTAGGGCTGTGTAGGGGTTTAAGGTTGTCATAGTTATCATTAGCATTTTTCCCATAGAAATGAATAAGCGCTCCCCAAAAAGATATGATTACATGACTTTGTGTGTGAGCGTGTGCGTGTCGGTGCATGTGCGTGCGTGTGTATCATCATGGAATAACATCTCAGCCAGTGATCACCCTGCAGCATTGTCAGTTTCTTGGTCCCCATATGGGAAAACTATTTTATAAAAATCCATGACTGCAATGAAAAAACTAAAAATACAAGAACTCTTGTATTTTGTTTGGTTAATTATCATTATGTTTAGGGCTGTGTAGGGGTTTAAGGTTGTCATAGTTAGAGTTAGCATTTTTCCCATTTTGAGGGACCAAGCAGTCAGGCAACACAAACACAGGAGCTTAACTAAAGAAATTGGGCTTTATTAACCCCCAAAATACAAACAATAATAAACTCAAGATCTTAATAACTGGGCCCATAAAAGAGGTCAACAAAAATGAACAAAACTTAACATTACAAAGCAAAGTATTAACTGAAACAAACTGACTTTCTAATAAAGAAACATGAGGGAACATATATAGCGGTTTGACCAAACCAATTAACATACAAAGGGGTAAACCAAATAATCACTACATATAATTAAACAAAGCAAAACACAACTAAACCCCAACTCCCCCCTCTTGCCATGGCAGCACATGGTTTGCTCCTGCTCCAGGGGTTGTCCTTTTGGGAGATCTCCGCCCTCAGCCACACCTTTATGCTGCATAGAAGACCATCCCCCCAAAACCAAAATAACCACAAACCAAATGATTGACAATCATTGCACACGACGCTACAACACAACCCTACAATATGAAAATATGCTACCCCAACCACAGAAGGCAAAAATCAAGACCTATGAATTACTGCAAATAAAACAAAAACATACAAAACAAATCAACTTAGGATGTAAATATATGTTTCAAGCCTTACTGTGTGGCTGTAGCCATCACACCATAGAAATGAATAAGCGTTCCCCAAAAAGATATGATTACACGACTGTGTGTGTGAGCGTGTGTATGTCGGTGCGTGTGTGTGCGTGCATGGGTGTGTGCGTGTGTGTCGTCATGGAATAACATCTCATCCAGTGTTCACCCTGCAGCATTTTCATTCTGAATTCTCCAATATTACATGAATAAAGAACCCACTGAAGAGTAGCTCCACCTTATTCCTTCAGAAGACCATCAGTCCTTCTGGGAGTGCCATCATAAAAGAGGAGGAGTGTGTGTAGAGGGATAATTGACCTCTCCTCAAGAAGAAAATCCTCCAGTAATTAGAGGGACGAAGAAGCTGGAAATTCGCTGCACATTCCTCGCTCTACAACATCCCATGAATTCTCAGTGATTGTTAGATCTGGTGACTGGGGTGGCCACGGAGGGGATTTGCCTTCATCCTGCTGTTCCAGAAACCACTTTTGAATTTGATTATTGGGCTGTATGGGCCTTATCATCCAGGAATATGGGAGCATCGTGAGAGAACAGTGTCTGCAGCACAAGGTGCACCTGCTGCTGAAAAACAGCCTCAGGATTCCTTGGCTGCTATATGACCACGCAGAGCAATGACTGGATCAAATGACCCTCCTCAGACAGCTGCCTATACCATTACGGATTCCCCAAACAATAATAATAATAATAATGGATACTTTATTGATCCCGATGGGGAAATTGTCTTTACGCCTCTTTCAACTTGCTCTTTGTGGAATAAGTTGTGCATGAAGGGCAGCCACCCGTAGTGGTGCCCAGGGAGGACCTGCAGACATGCTGAGGCTGGGTTTGAACCGGCAACCTTGTGATTACAGGCACACAGGCTTTGCCCACTGAGCCACACGCTGCCCCCAAAAGATGAGCCCTCTTTGCCACATCAGGGTATTTATCCCTGCCGTGGCCCGGATTCGAACCGGGGTTGCTGCGGCCACAACGCAGAGTACTAGCCACTATACGATCACGGCGAGCTACCAGAGGACTTATATAGGGGGGGTGAAGGCATTCTTTAGCTTTCTTCGGATGTAAAACTGTCCAGACACAGGGAAAAGGCTGAAAGACTCATCAGGCCGTATTACTTCCCCCCCCATTGCACAGGGGTTCGGGGCTCATGCTTCTCATACCAGGTTATGTATCTCTGAGCGCTGACCTTGAATACAAACATATTCAAAACCACATACCTGCCATAAAATTCCACTGAAGTTCAGGACATACAGTTGCTGTTGAGACTGGTCACAGAGGCATGGATTCAGTTCTGTGGTGATTTTTCAGGCTATACTTTCAGGGTTTGTAGCAACCATCTTGTTAAGCATCTATCCCTGTGGCTTATCACTGCTCCTCTCCAGTGATGCAATTTGTCCATGTTTGTCAAATATCATCATGATATATAAAAATCATGATTCATTAATAACAAATAATTCTGACACGTTAAATTTTGCAGTGCAGACCTCTGTTACATACTTCACATTGCTTTAAAGAACCCACATATCAAAGTGCTGACTAACCTCTTAGAAGACACATACTGCTAACTGGCATTCAGTCTAACGTGACTCACTACTGTGTCTGCGTTTGCAATAGTGATTATCTACTTCTAGGTATTTATTTTGCCCATATCTTATAGCATGCAGATATAACATATTTACCATACACAAATGCATGAAGTATATTTACATTGTACAGACACTTGCATCTTAAAACATGCTGCATAATTACTGGCCAATGCAAATTCAATGACACT